GGGGGACTTTATATGCTATGGTAATAAGTAAGTTTTGTATAAATTGTAGTTTATTTATGTGTTTGGGAGCTATGTTTATCCATGCGGGGCATGCATATTCTATGATGGGATGTATACATATGTCCTGTATATTTTCAAAATGCTGTCAGGTGATGTTCCCTGGTTTTGCCTTGTTAGACTTCTTGCATAATTTGTACGTTTCCAGAATTTTGATAATATATTATTCGTATGTTTTATGCACGTTAGTTTTGGGTCGAAAGTTAATCCTAAAACTTTTGCAGAGGTTGTGGTCTGGAGAAGTGTTCCATTCATGTATAATTTAGGTGGGTCTTTTTATGTTTTGTTAGTCATGCGAAAGTAAATAATTGGTTTTTAGGAACATTTATTTTTTATTCGATATTGTTGGCAAGAGTCTTCAATACTATTTAATAATGGTTGTTGATTTGTTGCTGCTATGGATAGGGTGGGGGTACTTTACCAAACTGCAACATTGTCCACGAATTGTGATGCAAACCCATGACTAGGGTATTTTAAAGGCATATTGCTCACATCACCCACAGTAGTTCCATTTCTGTCGTGCGGAACCTAAGACCATTGTGCCATACAGTGTCGAAAGCTTTCTCGACATCGAGAAAGCAGGCGATAGTGCATTAATTTTTATTAAAGCTATCTATTATTGTTTTTTTTAATCTAACCAAGTAATCTGTTGTCTGTCTGAATTTTCTAAATCCAGTTTAGATTTCTGGTAATTTTGAGGTTGCTTCTAGGTAATTTGAGAGTCTATTGCTTATTATTTGTTCAAGAATTTTTCCTTCACAGCTGGTCAGGCTGATCGGGTAGTAGTTGTTTGGTTTATTTGCTGGCTTTGTTTCTTTATGGAACAGTACTACGATTGCTTGCTTCCAAGAAACTGGGATGTATCCAGAACTTAGTGATAATTAAAAAGTGCTGTGTCCATACAGTCTCTGAGTGCCTTTTTTGAGGAGGATAGCCTGTATGCCGTCTTC